ATTAATTCCATCATTTTTCCTGAGACCCTGAGGAATTTTTCTTTATCCTTAATGTCCAACAGTCCATTTCGTTCCTGGGTGCATGTATGTAATCAACTCATTTCGTTTTTTTCCTATTTTTTATTTGTTCTCCTAGTTTTTAAAAAAATTTCTCATTCCAGATTTCTTTAATATCCTTGAATATTTGTCTTGGTATATTTAATTCAGTTTGGAGTGTTGCAGTTTTCTTCCTTTCTTTCTTCTTTTTGCTGTGGGCATTTTCATGAGTCGAAATGTTTTGAATTCTGACTTCGGTTTTTCTTAGAGTGACTGAGTGTAGATAAAGACTACTCTAGTCTACTCATTTCGTGGACAAGGCTGGCAGTTCTGGTGGTTCATGAGATCCCTAAATCAGGCGCATCCACTGTTGTGGGCGTGGTCAATTTTCTTTAACGGAGAGCATTTTTTGGTAGTCGTGCGTGTGGCTGTCCTAGCTCGGGCTGCCCGTAAGGAAACGCCGTCGACGGTGTGGCTGAAACAACACGCATCATCTCTCACTGTTCTGGAGGCAGGAAGTCCAAGTCAAGGTCCTGGCTGGCTGGTCTCCGTGAGGGCTCCCCTCCCGGCTCGCCGATGGCGCCTTCCCACTTCTCCGCCGTGGTGTAGAGAGAGAAAGACCTTTCTCCTGTCATTTCGGATAAGGGCACTGATCCCATCCTGGGCGCTCCACCCTCGTGACCTCATCTAGGCCAAACTACCTCCTTATCCCATCGCACTGGGGTGAGAGCTTCAACATATGGATTCTGGGGGCACACAAACATTCAGTTCATTATTGTGGTGTGGGGGTGTTTGAAGTTGGGTTCTCTTTTATCCTAAAGGATCCTATATTTCTCTCCTGCACTTTTTTTTTCTTTCTCAGAGACAGGGTCTCTCTGTGTCCCCCAGCCGGGAGTGATCACTGCCCACTGCAGCCTTGAGCTCCTGGGCTCAAGCAAGCCTCCTGCCTTGGCCTCCCAAAATGCTGGGACCACAGGTGTGCACCACCTGGCCAGGCTAATTTTTTTTTTTACTATTTTTTGTAGAGATGGGGTCTTGCTCTGTTGCCCAGGCTGGTCTTGAACTCCTAGCCTCAAGTGATCTTCCTGCCTAGGCCTCCCAGAGTGCTGGGATTACAGGCGGGAGCCACCGCACCCGGCCTGTCCTGCGTGTTTAAATCTGCACCAGCCAGTACCCAGCGGTCCCCTCCCCTAGTCTATGCTCTTCTCCGCAGGAGCTGCGCTGCCCGTGACTCCCACCTTCCGTCCATGCGCTCCATGGCCGTTTCCTGTGCCGGCTCCCGGCTCTATGCGACGCTTTTCGGCTACAGTGGTTTCCTTTCCTCAGCTTTGCCTGGTCAGTCCTGGGTCTTGTCCCACCTTCTCTCTCCTGCATGAGTTTTGGAAACTGACACGGCTGTCTGTGAAGTCTTGAGACAGCATCTTGAGGGAGATTTCTACCGCACATTTGCGTTTATTTTTTATTTATAGATAATGTGGAATTTCTAATTTTTTAAATGATTTGTGTGGTCGTGTCTTTCTTTTTTCAAGAGCATCATACTTTTTGGGAGACTGTGCAGAGATCCGTTTCGGCACTTGGCCGCCGGCACGGGCGACGGGGTGGTCGTGTCCACGGCCCTGCTCACAGCATCCAGCGTCCTCCGCAGGTTTCCAAGGCGGCTCTGGCCCCGTAAGCGGGGTGGTCACAGCTGTGCCCACGGTCTGCAACTCCAGCACAGGTGTTCGCGCACCTGCCTCTCCCTGACGCTGTCCGAGTCTCCTCACTAGAAAATGCATTTGAAACAACAATTGATTGAATTTGAAGAGCAGGATGGGAATTTGGGGAAGATTGTCTTCCCAAGGAAATCTGTCTCTCTGCCGGGCACCTCGAGGGTAGCAGTCAGGGACCATCCTGAGCCCAGGTCAGGGTGCGGTTGCTCTGGCCTCACGGCGTGAGGAGCGCGGCTACGCGTTTGCGCAGGGCTGGGGGCTTCTGCCCTCCTTCCCCTGCTGGGCTTGTCGTCCAAGCGGGGCCGGGGGCTTACGACAGCTCCTTCCCTCGGGAGCCCTGGAAGGACAGACGGCCTCACCTTTCCTCCGACCCCCAAGTCCCGCCTGTCCCGCTGTTGACAGGACCCTGCCGCCACCCAGCAAAGGCATCTGGGAAATGCAGGCGTCGTCCCGCCCACCCCAGCCCCGGACGCAGAGGCGGAAGCAGCGCGTGGTAGGACGACAAACACAGCTGGCCCTGTCCGTCCTTCCGTCTGCTCGGGTTCCTTCCCCCCTTCCCCACGCATTCATTTCTGTAAAGCGCCAGCGACAGCGAGGTCTCGTCTCCGCCGACGCGCGCAACCCCGCGCCCCGGGACCCCGCGTCCGGAGCGTCTGCGACACAAAGCCTGCACTGCGGCGGCGTCGCCAGGCCTCGGGCACCTTTCACAAAACCGTGCGGTGTGGGCAGGAAGCGGGGCACAGAGGCGTGGCTGGTTTACGCATTTAATTACGCGCCAGCAGAGAAGGAAATGCGCGTAAACTGCCAGGGGTCACTTTCTGAAGCGGCCGCAGTTGTGACATTCCTACTTTGTTACCGTCTCACAAATCCTCGGATCCCGGGACACTGGTGTCCGCCCGTTTGGGGGGTGTGTTTCGGGGCACAGGCTCTGCGTCCCTGCTCTGGGTCCGCTGCTCAGCGTGGCGGTGGCCATGCGGCTGGCCACGCGGCGCCTGCGGAAGCCTGGCCTGAGTCCGCTCCACGCGCTCCTCTGTGTCCGCGGACGCTGTGGCGCTTGTTTCCCCGGCTCTCCCGTCCTCGGGCGGGGCAGGCGCACTGGGCGACTGGGCAGAATTCTACCGCGTGTGCTGCGCAGGCCGGTCGAGAGCTCCCGGAACATCCCTTTCCTGCTGGGATGAGCCGGACGCAGACCTGCGCCCCCGGGAGAATGGCAGAGGTCGTTGCCGAAGAGGTGGCGGAATCCGGTATATCAGTTCCCGTCATCACGTCGTCAGACCCAACCTGCCTGGTCTTTGGAAAAGACGGAGGGACGTGGAGAACGATGGCGGGTCCCCCTAAAGCAGTCAGGCGGCGGTAGCACCGGCGGGTTTCCTTCTAGACGCTGTCTCTTCAATGGCGCCTGCCAGCGCGTCCTCCCCGCTGGGTGCGCCCCTGTCAACCTGGAGCACATTTATTTTCCCATCGTTCCACCTGGAGCAGCGGGCCTGTCGGGGGGACAGCGGCGCACCCTCCTCCTCCGTGGCCAAGCCTCGTGGCTCCCAGCCAGGGTCCCCCAGGGCCGGAGAGGGCTTGACACCCCACGGACGATGCGCCAGTCCGCCCGCTGTGGCTTCGGCCTGGCGGGCAGGAGGCCGGAGCCCCCTCCGCGTGTTAGCTGCGCGCACTGCGCTGAGGGCCCAGAGCCTTCCCACACCAACCGCCCCACGCGCAGACGCCCGAGGCATTCTCAGAAGAGGAGCCGGTGCTGGGGGACCCCAGAACTGCTGGCGTGTGAGGGGCCTTGGGGTGGAGAGTGGGCGCTTCACGGGACGCGCCTGCAGGCTGGGTGGAGGCCGGGGTGGGGGCCTCCGGGGGCCGCGGCCGGCAGGGCGTGGGTGAGGGTTGTGGGGCCCCAGCACACGGTGAGTGGAAGCCGGAAGGCGCAGCCGCCTGTGAAGGCAGAGCCCAGACCCACACCCTGCAGCCCCCGGCCCAGGAAGCCGGACGGGTGGGAAGTTGGACGCTATCTCCAGGTACAGCCTGAAGGGCACCAATGCCCCCAGCCATCAGCCCCAGAGGGCCAGGACGAGAGCTGTCACTGGCCGCTCTTCTAAGTTTTGTCCCCGCTTCCGACTTAGGACCATGCACAGAGAGCAAAAAGGCCCTGCCGGATCCCACGGCGCCTGCTCCGACGAGTTGCTCCCAGCCCCAGCGAGGAGCTTCCCACCCCCGCCCGCCTGGGGGTCCCCCCAAACGCAGGGATGGGGGCCCACACCGCCACCTCGTGACATGGGGCTCTGAGGAAACAGCCTTTGCTTCTGTCACCCGGGGGGTCTTGGTTTCTACCCCTGCCCGCCTGGCAGTGGCTGTTTTGTGGCCACAGCCCTTGGGGACACCAGCCAGCTGGCATTAAGGGGCTGGGTCTAGCATTGCGCTTGGGCCGAGAAGGGCCGGAGAGTCTGGAGTCTGTGGCTGCGCAGAGATGCTCACTATGTCCTGGTGGGTAAACGGTGAACTGGTGAAGGGGCGGATCCCAGAGGATGCAGGCTGTGGCTGAGGGATCCTCGGACCCCCCTCCCTGGCCACCCCCCAGGGGTTCAGGGGCTCAGATGGACCCTGCGGAGCACCTCTGTCCTCTGCTCCCAGGATGGCCGGGGGCGGAAGCCCAGGCCGCAGAGCAGGCAGCCCGGAAGGCGGTGGGAGGCGGCAGGAACCGCACGGTCTGGCGGGTGCTGGCTGGGGGCGGGAGGCCCGGCCAGCAGAGCAAGAGGTGGGCAGGCCGGGAAGGAGTGGGAGCCTTTTAGAAAACACTCTGGGGACTTTTTGTACTTCTAACCATGAAACAAAAGATACCCCAACCGCAGTTTCTGGAAGAACCACTTGTCCTTGCCCAGCTTGTACCTGTCCTCAGACTTGGCACTGGCTTCCCGGCGGGCCTGGCCGGTGGACAGCAGGGCCTCTTGCCTCCCCAGACTCAGCGCAGAAGAGGCTCAGATCCCTGGGTCGGGGGGCGTGCCGCCGGGTTGAGGGTGCTCGTCCTGGAACTCTCCCAGGACCTCTCTCGGCTCTGCAGGGGGTCTGGCCGGGGACAGAGGCCTCCCCTGCATAATGCCCCCCCTTGGGTAATTCTGCCACTTTGCAAGAGGCCGGGATGGTGCCCAGTGGTTACTGCCACCCACATCGAGGTGTTCAGGGCCATATAAACGGTTTCCAGGGCCTGGAGGGACCGTGCGTCCTGGCCCCGTGGTGTGCCAGCGCATGTGGGCCTCTGGGCGGATGGGGGTCCTCCTGCTGGCCCTTCTCCTGGCTTTGGCCTCTGTGCCCAGGGCCCGGGCGGTGTGGCTGGGCAGGCTGGACCCCAAGCAGGTGGCACCCGTGGGGGGCACAGCGCGGTTTGGTCAGCGTGGGCCCCTCTTCCGAGGCCACCCAGCTCCTGGGTCCCCTGATGCCAGCCCAGGCCAGCGGATGGCGGGGGGCGGGCTGGGCCTGCACGAAGGGCCCTGGGGCTCCCGGACAGCGACAGGGGCCTCTGAGGGCAGCTCTCTGAACACCTGAACACCCTCAATGCAGCTTCTCGGGCCCTGGTATGTCCTGGCTGTGGCCTCCCGCGAAAGGGGCTTCGCTGTGGAGAAGGACATGAGGGACATTGAAGGGGTCGTGGTGACGCTCACTCCAGAAAACAACCTGAGGGTGCTGTCCTCCCGGCACGGGTGAGTGAGGCTGTGCCCGGTGTGCGCTGGGTCCCGCCCAGGCTTCCCGGCAGATGCCTGTGGCCGCAGGTCCCACAGGCCGGGCCCGGCCGGCTCAGGGAAGAGCCCTGTGTGCTCCGCACACCTGCCCTGCGGCTCCGCGGCCCTGGGCCTCCCACCAGCCCCGGGCTCGGCTCTGAGCTGCCAGCCCTCTGCCCCGCCACGCACGTCCCCGTCCCTGGACCCAGGGCCTGGCTGGCATCCGGGTAGGACACACGCCCTCAATGTCACAGCCGGTGTGGCTTCCGACCACCCTGCCTGTGCCCTCTTGTCCTTGGTCACCCTGGCCGTGGCTCTTGGTGAAGCCTCCTCTTGGAGCGGATCCTCTTGAACACGGTCCTGAGAGTGGGCTCACGCCCTGGGCCCAAGAGCCCCTGATTTTTCCGCAGAATAAACCCCGCAGAATGGGGCTTCGTGGCCATTTGCCAAGCCAGCCTTGACCCGCAGAGCCACGAGCGTGTTCACCACAGCAGACCATGTGTGTGGCCGGGGGCGGGGGGTGCAGGCCACCCAGGGGTGCTTGGAAGAAGCCACACTGGGGCGGGTGTTGGCACTCACCTCCCTTTCCTGGGCAGAGGGCCTGGCGGTGGCTTGGTGGCATCAGCTCCGGCAGGCTGCTCCACCGCGTGGCTGAGCCACCACACCAGGCACGAGTTCCTTCCCCCTCCCCGAGGTGCCCTCCCTCCTGCGCCTGAGCCTGCCACCCGGGCAGACTGGCCGCAGCACCGGCAGGGACAGGTCTGTGCTAAGGCGGCAGCTCCCACCGGCCTTTCCTGGTTCTTGTTTTCCCGCGTGCACGTGGGCACCAGCCCCTCTCGCTGAGCAAGCACCCGGATCTCACCGGGTCGCTCATTTGTGGACGGGCAGCCCAGGGAGCACCGGCCCCTCTCCCCAGAGTCACGCTCGCCTCCCGTCCGGGGCTCTGTCTGTGTCCTGTGTTCCGTGTGGAGAGCTGGAGCCACAGGGCTCCGGCAGGTGAACGAGGGGTCTCACTGCCCAGGCCCCCCTGCCACCCACCTCCCCAGACCGGTCCGACTGGCCCAGGGCAGATTTCCGGGTACCTGGGGGCGTCAAGAAGACGGAATTCCCTCGGCAGCCTCCACCAAGCTCCTGTCTCCTCCCTTGGGGTCCCGGGGTCTTGACCTTGCGCCGGGGGGGCCTTTTCTTTTGCAGTCTGGAGGGGTGCAACCAGAATGCTGTGGAGTTGCTGAAACGAAAGTCTGGATGGGTGTTTGAGAACCCCCGTAAGTGCGGCCGCAGGTGCCTGCCCTGGGCCGCGTCTCCCTGAGGTGCCTCCAGGGCTGGCGCCGGCGGGGAGCGCCCAGCTCCACTCCGGAGATTTCCGTGTGGCTCTTTTCCAGGCAGCGAGAGAACTTGGTTCTGTCAGGGGCTCGAGCAGGTGCTGAGGGCGGGGAGAGGCCCCTGCGTAGAGAGCTGGGACCTCGCCGTGCTGCCCAGCCCAGGTCCTGCCCCACTCGGCTGCATGGGCCTGGGTGCCTGGCGGGCGGCTGTCCGCCCCCACGGGGACAGGGCTGGGCCAGGACTTGTCCGTACGTCTGTCTGTCAGTCACCGAGCCGCTCCACCCTGGCGCTGGGTGGGGTTTGGGGGAGACAGACCCGGGGGCTCTGGGCCACTGGGAGGGGTCTCCTGGGCTCTCTCACCCTGCGCTGGTCCCGCCTGTGGCCAAACCCGCTCAGTGGCCCCCAGACGGGCACAGCAGCCGCCCTACAGTGCGGGGGGTGGGGGGGCTGTCTTCTAGCCCTGGGCGTGCTGGAGTACCGCGTGCTGGGCACCAACTTCAGAGACTACGCCATCATCTTCACCCAGCTCGAGTTCGGAGACGAGGCCTTCAACACCGTGGAGCTGTACAGTGAGTAGCCGCAGGGGCCTCGCCCCGGCCCTCACCCTGGGCCTGGCCGCACCCCTCCCTGAGCCCTCCCCAACCTTCCTCCCCGGCCCTCCCCGGCCCTCAGAGCCGACCGGCCCCCCACCTGCAGGTCGGAGCGAGACGGCCAGCCAGGAGGCCTTGGGGCTCTTCTCCAAGTGGAGCGAGGGCCTGGGCTTCCTGTCTCAGCAGCAGGCCCAGCTACGCAAGGACCGTGAGTGTCCCTGGAGCGGCCACAGGGGTGGCTCAGGGCCGGGGCTGGTGCCCGAGGGGAGTGATGGGTGGCACAGACCCGGGGCCAGTTCCTGGCCTCTGCATCGAGGCCGCAGGGCGTCAGGCAGGGCTGGGGCCGCAGGGCCAGCCCCCGTCGCAGGTGAGGCCTGTGGCAGGGACGGGGGCCTGGGTGCGGGCACGGCCGAACCTCACAGGCCGTCTTGCCTCCCCTTCTAGTCACCTGCGCACGCAGGATCCTGCAGGTAAGCCGCCACCTCCAGCATCTCCCCGGGCCCCTGTGAGGCAGGAGGGGACGCCCACACCCGAGAGGGCGGGAGGACCCTCACCCAAGCCCGCAGGGCTAGTGGCTCCACAGTCCTGAAGGTGCTGAGGGCTTGGGGGGCCCTCTGGTGAGCCGGGGTCCCCACACGCTTGTCTCGGTTTTCAGTGAAGGCTGCGGCTCTGCGGGGACAGCACGCCAGGTCCCAGCGGAGGCCAGTCAGGGGCCGTCCCTTGCTCCAGATCAGAATAAAGTGATTCGCAAGCAAACCCACCAATGTCTTGAGCGTGAGCCAGGCGGTGCCCTGCAGGCAGACAGAGGAGCCAGACAGGCTCTGCCCCCTCAGGGCTCTGACCCGCCCAGGGAGAGGGGCTCGGGGCCGGTGGACGTCACCAAGGGCCAAACCACAGGACCCGGAGCCGTCCTGACGAGAGGCCTGAACCTGACCCCTCACCGGGGCTCCTCTGGGTCTGGGGGCGCCACACTCAGGCCCCGGTCGGAGGTGGGGGCTGGTCTGTGGACGGGGCAGGCCACAGCCACTTCTCCCGCCTGGACCCAACATGGCCCTCGAGGACTCTGGCACTGGTGTCCACCAGGACCCCTGGCCCAGGTGCCACGGTGTCCACGGACCGCCCAGGGCCAGGGGGCTGCCACAAGTGCTGGCCCCTCCTGGGAGCCTGGGGGGGTCTTGACTCTCCAAGCTCTGTTGTCTCTTGGGCTGGGGCTTTGGCTGCGGCCTGGCCAGGGGCCAGGGGGCCAGGGGTCCTGGAGGGCCTGCCCCCGCGGGTCCCCCTGCGTCTGGAGGCCGCGCTGCAGGGAATCCTGGGAGAAGCGCAGGCCCAGGAGCCGCTGGGCAGGAAGCAGGGTGGGGGCTCCCTGTTGCCCTCACTGAGGTGAGGTGCCCACGAGGTGCCTGGGCCCTCCATGCTGGGCAGGCCCACGCGTGCACCCTGGAGCACCCACCCACGCGTGCACGCGATGCACACGCTCGCCCAGCCCCGGCCCACCCGAGCACCTGCTCAGGCACTGCCATTGAGGCCTGAGGAGGTGGCCAGGTCTGAGCCGGGGTCGCGGAGGGGACACTCTGCCTGTGCGCCCTGCCCGAGAAGGGCCCCAGCCTATTGCCTCCCACCGGGGGGGTCCAGGATGAGAGGCCTGACGTGCCCAGGTGAGACGCCCCCGGGCTATAACGGGTGCACACGTGGGGACCTGCGGTCGGGGCAGTGAGGAATGTGGGTGTCTGGCAGCCTCGGCGTGGCCTCTGGGTCTGTGGCGGCTCCTGCCGAGCCCGAACCCACCCCTCCCTCTGGCCCAGCCCAGGCCGGACACCCACCACGGGGTGGGCACAGGGAGATTTAAACGCGATGTCCAGCCTGGCTGGCTGAGGAGGGAGGGTGAGGATGAGGCCGGGGCTGCCGGTCCTGCTGCTGGTGCTGGCTCTGGCCCTGGCTGCGGGGCCCCCGCCGCAGGAGTGGCACCCCAAGGAGGCCCACGCCCTCAACTGGAACAAGGTGAGCCAGGCGCCAGGCTGCGCAGGCTGGGAACAGCGGCGGGGCGGCCGGGACAGGCGCCCTGCAGGGCCTGCGGGCAGCCACCCAGGACCGAGCCGGACGCCGGTTTCTCCCACGGCAAGCGCAGCCCATGAGCCGTGAGGCGCACAGGGCCAGTGCCCCGAGTGGGGGCGGGCAGAGAGGCCCCAGGAGACATTGAGGGGCAGCCGGATGCAGAACGGGGTGCGTGTCCTGGGGTGGAAGACTGCTGGCCAGTAGAAGGTTCTGGCACCGTGCTGGGTGGACCCTGCGGGCAGGCCCTGCCAGCCCCCATGCGGGTGCGCTATGGCGGGGCCGGGCGCAGGGCAGGTACCTTGTCTGCTGGGTTCTTGGGTGGGGCCTCTGTGTGGCAGCTCCACACCGGCCGCCCCCACCGACACCCCACGGCAGCTTTCAGGCTTCTGGTACATTCTGGCTGTCGCCACGGATGCGCAGGGGTTCTTGCCGGCCAGAGACAAAAGGAAGCTGGGGGCGTCCATGCTGCGGGTGCACAAGAGGGACCAGCTCAGGGTGGTCGTTGCCTTTAGCCGGTGAGTGGGCACGGGTGGGGCCCAGCACGCCCTCCCCAGGGCATGGGGCACCTCCCTTCCCGGAGGCAGGAGGACTGTCCCCCCACTCCTCCCCCAACAACGCACAGGAAAGATGTTGGCAGAAGCCGCAGTCC